GGTACCACAGGGTGTAACAATATACGTCTGTCTAATGCCAATCTGACATACTAACAAGGGTACCACAGGGTGTAACAATATACGTCTGTCTAATGCCAATCTGATATACTAACAAGGGTACCACAGGGTGTAACAATATACTCCTGTCTAATGCCAATCTGACATACTTAAAATGGTTCTGATGAATTTTTGTATGTTTTGAAATGTGAGAATAAACAATATTTGTACCGTATTACTCATTGAATTTGTGAACTATATCTGGAATCTGAAGGGATATAATTATGTATTTTCTATATGATCTGTTCGGACAATTTTTAAAAAAAAAATCACTGAAATTGTCTCCCTTTGTATATATTTCATACCATTAAAATATAATTATAATTGTTTAAATAATCCCACAGTATAGCATACTCTTTTAATATCAACCTAAAATGTCTTGTGATCAAGAGTTTGTTAACTAAGACTAGGCTGTTCACAGATGAGGCGCTCAACCATTTGGGGAGGTGAAGACACAAACGTCCGATACCGAGCTACATGTGATCAAAGTGTAAGGGCTTGTACACGGTCACTCAAACATCAATGTTTGAAACTATGCGGGACCATCAGGACAAAGTTGAAATATTAAGACCATGACTCATGAAATTTATCCTCAAACATATTTGAGATCCTGTATATACTGTTTAAGACCAAACATCATTGAGATCCTGTATATACTGTTTAAGACCAAACATCATTGAGATCCTGTATATACTGTTTAAGACCAAACATCATTGAGATCCTGTATATACTGTTTAAGACCAAACATCATTGAGATCCTGTATATACTGTTTAAGACCAAACATCATTGAGATCCTGTATATACTGTTTAAGACCAAACATCATTCCTAAGTGACAGAACACAATGCAAGAAATTCTATTGGAAATCTATAAATATTGGATTTAATGTAATTAGAAAAATATTTTTCATGTATCTATACACTATAGTTTGCATGTATAGGTGTTAAAATGGCTCAAGGAAACAGATTGATATAAGTTTAATTACTTGTTTCTGGATCCTATTCCATGTATGTAATAATTAAATGTTCTGTATATTGTAATTGCAAATTTATGAAATAAAATATGGTTTATACTAAAATGGCCACGGGACATTTTAATGTTTTCGTACAGGTTATTGTTTTACTTGGATTTATAACTTGTAATTTTCAATGTTTTCTGAACGATTGGACTTTGGTTTTAGTTCGAAACAGCGAGAAATTCAACTTATAAAAGTTTCATTCATAAATGGAATATCAGTATAGTGTCTTGAAGGGATTTTTTTTTTACTTTGCCGTAAGTACAACACATGGAGAAATTTGAATCTTCAAAGTTTGTTTTTATTGAGGTTTGACTGTATTTATAAAAAGATCTTTACCTTGATTTTGTCCATGTAGGAAATGGATGGCTGCCATGTTTGTCTAAACTTGAGGAAATCAGGTGCCCCACGATAGAAGTCCGCAATCACTCGCTATAACCACAAGCATTCAAAACATTTAAAATATTTGCAAGTCACTTGAAATTTGAAAATGGCTGTCGTTGTTTTCACAAGAAACAACAAATGTTATACGCTCCCTGTGTATTTGTGGAATGATAAGGGGGACATTTAAAATTTGTAATCATATCTCCTTGCAAATTCGTGTGAAAAAACATCAATAAATCTTACATTCATGACAGCAGGATATTGCATATTTCCATTTTTCAGCAAGCACTGTTGACTAAGTTTCTAAACATTTTCTTCAGGTTGGTAGGTATGTATTATGAAAAGTTTCTTGTTACACAACCAATAAGTATTTCTATGTGACATTTCTTTGACTAGTATGGTATGTACTCCGTCACCTTCAACAGAATAGTCATAGAAACGTCACACAGAAACACTTATTGGTTGTGTAACAAGAAACTATTCATAACAAGAATTCCACAGGAGTGGATGTGTCGCCCGCTCAATGCTTTTAGTAAAACAAGAGGCCCAAGGGCCTTAGCGGTCACCTGAGTTATATCATAGATACTGGTAGCTTTATTTTATTGTTTAGATGTGATGTGGAAATCAGCATGTAAACTAAGTGAAATACAATACTTGTCATGTCATCAATGGATAAGAATTTGAAAATATTGGTAAATGTTCCCTTTGGGGCCCCGCCCTAGCCCCTGGGGATGGGGCAGGAATCCTAATTTTACAAAGTAAAACTCTCATTTACCCAAGATGATTCTGACTAAGTTTGAGCAATTTTCTGCTGAAAATGGATAAAATATATACCGAAAAGTGTTATTTCCCTATATAAACTATATTAAACGTTAACCCCTCCCCAAGGGAGAACGGATAGCTCGGGGTCCTGATATTTTCAATTTAAATAAAGCCCCTGATGATCTTTCTTTCCACGTAAAGAAAATCACTGTAGTACCTCTGAGTCTGGAGAAGAAGATTTTTGAAATATTGATTAATTTTCCCTTTGGGGCCCCGCCCTGGCCCCAGGGGTCGGGGTAGGAATCTCAATTTTACAATTTGAAACCATCTACCTCCAAGGATAATTCTCACCAAGTAAAAATAATTTCCTACAGAAAGTTGTCAAAATATACCCAAAAGTGTTATTTCCCTATATAAACTATAGTAAACTTTACCCCCTCCCCAAGGGAGAACGGATAGCTCGGGGGTCCTGAAATTTACAATTTAAGTAAAGCCCCTGATGATCTTTCTTTCCACGTAGAGAAAATCACTGTAGTACCTCTGAGTCTGGAGAGGAAGATTTTTGAAATATTGGATAATTTTCCCTTTGGGGCCCCGCCCTGGCCCCAGGGGTTGGGGTAGGAATCCCAATTTTACAATTTTGAAGCCTCATCTACCAAGGATGATTCTGACCAAGTTTGAAAAAACATCAATCCACTGGTTCTTGAGAAGAAGTTGAAAATGTAAAAGTTTACGCACGACGCACGACGGACGACGGACGACGGACGACGGACGACGACGGACGAAAAGCGATTGGAATAGGTCACTTGAGCAAAGCTCAGGTGACCTAAAAAGTGTTTTGGCTCGAGTTATAGCGTAAACAGATATGCCAAAATGCGGAAAGTTGAAACAAAGTTGAAAACAGAAAAACCTGTAATATATGTTGAACGTTACTGCTTCTAGCATTACCGTACAAAATTTGAAAGGAATTGATTCAAAAATAAAAAAGTTCTTGCATTTACTACAAAATGCCCAAATTTGACAATAAAAGGGGCATAACTCCACCAAACATGCACGTAAACTTCTGAAATGCAGACTTATCCAAACTATATTGGTTTGCAATATGTGTACCAAGTAAAGTTCAATAAACTCAAGGGAACTCAAGTTATCACACAGAAACCTTGTTTCGAACGACGCAACCGACCAAGCCAACGATGCCGACAATGTAATACTGATATGTTGCCTCGCGTTGCAGGTGACACAATAAAACTGTTGACTAAGGTTAAGCCCTGTCACAAATATCAACTTATCGTAATATACTGAGTATCATGCCTAATATTAATTGCTGAACATCCAGATATTTAACAATGCCAGACAATCTTTTCCTCCTGTTGTTGGGTTGGATAAACAATCAATGTCATATAGACACTTTAGAATGATAAAAGTGATCGCTAATAGTCAACAAACATTTTGGTGACCAGACAGTATTCATGGAGACAGAATACATTTTCTCTCATTTCCGTGTGTTAGATAGAGCTGTCCAGGGTAAGAAAGGGGTGTAGGAAATATCTATCTTACACCCCGTTTCACGTGACGAGACATCTTAATGACTTAACAGTGATGAGATGCACAAATTTGGAAAACATTGGTACTGCAATGCGGAAAAGGTGACATGTTGAAATTAAAACCTTTTACAGTATATTTACAGCACACGTTAGAGAGATGAGATTAATAAAATCTTTCACCCCCTTGGGGGTGAGACAGGGTTATCTCAACCCGAGGGGTAAGATTCTTAAGTTGTCAAACACGAGGCTTGCAGAGCGTTTGACAGCTTAATAATATTACCCCGTGGGTTGAGATCACCGTGTCTCACTCCCAAGGGGGTGAATGATTATTTTTCTCCTACCCTGTTTACCCTCTTATGTATTTTATATAGACGTTACATCAATGCAAGACAATGTTGATATGATGCGGTTGAATTGTCGATGTGACGTCATTGTATTGTTGCCGTGACGTCTTGGAATTGTTGCTATGATGTCATACAAATGTTGAGAACGTCATAGAGGACGTGTAGCTTGTCTCAACCCTAGGGTGAGATAAGAAAATCTCACACTGGCAAAATGGTGGATATCTCTGTCCAGGGCAAGAGAATAATTCTTCTGCACAATTTCTGTTTGCAAATACTGGGGATGCTTAATCTTGCTGACAGATTTGTTTTCATCAAAAATCACATTTTCAAAATAGTAGCCAGTCCAAACACATTTTCATGGTTTCTGAGCTTATTCTGGTAGTTGGAATGAAAGAAAATACTCATGCCCAAGGGTGTAGGATATAGGAAAATTCCAAATTTCGAATTCAGCAAAACCCTCGGCAAAGCCTCAGGTGTTACCAAAATTGAAAAATCCTCGGGTAGAATTTCTCTATCCTACACCCCTGGGCATGAAAACAGTCTTATAATGTTCCTGGGAAATTGTCCGGTATGTTTTTATGACAACCCTGTAGAATACTGACCATCTCGGTGAGCAGGTCTTCAGTCACAGATTGGTTCTGTCGGAGGGAATACTTGACTTTCATTGGGATACCGTAGTCCGACGGCTGACTCTGTCATAACAATAAGCACTGGGTAATAACATTTAATCTGTAAGTAAGAGGTCATCTTGAATATGCTTTAAGGGTAATTAATACGAGCCTGTTACTAAGAAAACATCAGACTCTATAGGTATTACAATTCTTAAGTAAGAAGTTGTTTTAAATTTTAAAGTATATATTTGACCAAAGTGCTCTTAAAAGTTCGTTAAAGACATTCATTTGAAAAAGTTGATAGCATATCATCCAAACAAGCTACAAGCCGTTTATCATTACACACAACTAATATCATGAATCTTTGTAGATTACAACATCATGTAATTGGGTCGATGTCATTAAATTGCATGATACATTTGACAGCCTTTCAGTCCCCCAAGCTATATCACAATTAACATTACATGTAGGAACCTTTATAGAACATACTTTTAAAACAAAATATAATTATATGATCCCTAGGACCTTAAAGTGGGTCAAGGTCATTTATTTGAACAAATTTCTCAACCTGATTCCACATATGATATCATAAGTGTTTCAGGGATCCTTCATATAACTGTTTATTCCTGTTCCCACTTATGACCAAAGACGTAAGACCTACGACCGAAGACGTAAAACCTACGACCCAAGATGTAAAACCTACGACCCAAGATGTAAGACCTACGACCCAAGATGTAAGACCTACGACCCAAGACATATGACCTATGAGCAAAGACTAAGACCAACGACCCAAGACGTAAAACCTACGACCCAAGATGTAAGACCTATAGCCCAAGATGTAAGACCTACGACCCAAGACATATGACCTATGATCAAAGACTAAGACCTACGACCCAAGATGTAAGACCTATGACCCAAGACGTAAGACCTATGACCCAAGACATATGACCTATGACCCAAGACATATGACCTATGATCAAAGACTAAGACCTACAACCCAAGATGTAAGACCTACGACCCAAGATGTAAGACCTATAGCCCAAGATGTAAGACCTACGACCCAAGACATATGACCTATGATCAAAGACTAAGACCTATGACCCAAGACGTAAGACCTATGACCCAAGACGTAAGACCTATAGCCCAAGATGTAAGACCTATGACCCAAGACATATGACCTATGATCAAAGACTAAGACCTACGACCCAAGACGTAAGACCTACGACCCAAGATGTAAGACCTATAGCCCAAGATGTAAGACCTACGACCCAAGACATATGACCTATGACTCAAGATGTAAGACCTATGACCCGAGACGTAAGGCCTCTCACCTCTAAAGGCGGCATGACCATGAAGATCTGGAGTGACGAAGTTTTCTTGGTCGTCTTTCGATTATATGGAGCTGAAAAGTGTAAAATTGCGTAACAAATTAACAGACTATCGTAGAAATAGCTGAAAAATATACACAAAAGATACCGAACTGTTCTAGAGATAACATATTGTTTGATTCGTCTAATTTGGTCTCTGAACATCGCAATTAGAGTTTTCATATTATCTTTCTGTCAATAAGAATTTTCATATTCTCTTTCTGTCAATAAGAACTTTTAATAACTCAAAGGTTGGTTTTAACCTTAATTTTACACAATAAATGCTGATAACTCATGAAATGGATTTTTCTCTTCTCTTTGAATTTCTTCTAAATATTTTGATTAAGTCTTTATTTATTTCACAAGGAGCATCATACCCATGATATGTACAATCTTTGATGTTGTCAGAGCTAGAAACACACCAACCTATGGTTAAGCTTCACTAAATCGAACTTTGAAAATTCCAATTTCTTGATATAACAAAATTGTATTTTTTCCTTAAATAACTTTACTTAATATATTTATTTCATGAATCAAACTTGTAAGAGTCAAATTTTACGCTGTTTGGAAGTATAATCAATGTTTGTTTGTTATAAAATCTTTAAAAATTACAACTTGTAGAACTTTAAAAGTGAAAACAAATTCCTGACAGAGTGTACATTAATGCGGGCGAATATATTACTGATAAAAACGAAATGTTGAATTTAACAGAAACACCATGCACACTACAGTGTATATCTCGCTATCTGTAATCTTCAAAGAAAATACAGATAATTCAAATCTTTCAAAGTCTCCTATTCACAAAATGTAAGCTGAAATCCATAATAATACTTACCCACAATGTACCTCAATAATTACCCATAATGCACCTCAATACTTACCCACAATGCACCTTAATACTTACCCACAATGCACCTTAATACTTACCCACAATGCACCGCAATACAGCCCGACGTAAATCAACATTTCACCCTTATTGTTACCGACAACACAACTCGCACCTACCCATAATGCACCTCAATACTTACCATCAATACAGCCTGACGTATATCAACATTTCACCCTTATTGTTACCCACAATACCCATAATGCACACTGACACTTACCGACGATGCATCCGACACAGGGAAAGTAAGTGGAGCCTTTGCCCTTCATGCGTAGTTGGTAGGACATCTGACAGTCGATGTCTTTGACGGATGGATCAGGCTGGCAATAGGGATGACTGTGGTACCACCCCACCAACGACAGACCAACACGTGTCATCTGTTTCCGGATCTATAAATCAATTATCAAGGTCAAATCACCATCCAGTCAATGACAAACAAGCAATGTCTGCTCCTGAATCTACAAATAAAGGCTAAATTGCTAGTCTACTGATCATGACTCCAGTCATCAAAATGATATTAATGCTCATTTTTAGTGCAGGTGAAGTTGGTACATAAAGTTTGCCTATTGCCTATAACATATTTCCGAACCGATAAATTTTATTGAAGATAACTTGGTACGTATTACAACAATACTTTTCTGGCAAGGTAGAAAACTTTAAACAGGTATAAGACATGGGATGACGTGATTGTTGTGACTGGAGAAACAAATCTTACCTCCTCTTCAGTAGCAGCCGACTTCTGACTGTCTCCAAGTCTACACCGACAAGGATACGCCTGAATGATGCTTAAATCTGTCGCAAGTAATGATCATGTTAAATTAGCATCAAGAAATTATATAACTGCATGAAGTTATATCTATTAAATAAAACATACACCTGGATAAAGTTAAACCCATTAAATAAAACATACACCTCGATAAAGTTAAATGCATTAAATAAAACATACACCTGGATAAAGTTGAATAAATTAAATCAAACATACACCTGGATTAAGTTAAATCCAGTAAATTAAATATACACCTGGATAAAGTTAAATCCACTGAATTAAAGATACACCTGGATAAAGTTAAATCTGATTAAGTTAAATTTGATAAAGTTAAATTTGACAAAGTTAAATCCACTGAATTATAGATATTCATAAATAATGCATCAGTTTCTAGGAAGTTGTATCTGGATAATCAAATGTATAGATCTAGGAAATTAACCGACCCTTGTTAAAACTGATGCATGTTTAAATTTACTTTTACATGATTTATGTGTGATAAAGTAATGACTTAATGTCAAATTAAATATTTCTGGTATAGGTTTCACCTGATCTCCTGGTAGAGCTTTTATAATGTTGTTGTATCACATCTGGAATGATGTTACACCTTAACGACTCTTGTGTGACGGGAATAACATAGCTTCCAACTCCTGATCAATAAGTCAACATAACTGGTAGGTAGCACAACAGACTTCAATCATTCCTATAGATATGAAACATAAACTGATCAGAAGCCGGGGTACCTACTCTCTGTAGATCTGTAACTGATCAGAAGCTGGGGTATCTAGTCTCTGTAGATCTGTAACTGATCAGAAGCCGGGGTACCTACTGTCTGTAAATCTGTAACTGATCAGAAGCTTGGGTACCTACTCTCTGTAGATCTGTAACTGATCAGAAGCGGGGGTACCTACTCTCTGTAGATCTGTAACTGATCAGAAGCCGGGGTACCTACTCTCTGTAGATCTGTAACTAATCAGAAGCCGGGGTACCTAGTCTCTGTAGATCTGTAACTGATCAGAAGCGGGGTACCTACTCTCTGTAGATCTGTAACTGATCAGAAGCCGGGGTACCTACTCTCTGTAGATCTGTAACTGATCAGAAGCCGGGGTACCTACTCTCTGTAGATCTGTAACTGATCAGAAGCCGGGGTACCTAGTCTCTGTAGATCTGTAACTGATCAGAAGCCGGGGTACCTAGTCTCTGTAGACCTGTAACTGATCAGAAGCCAGGGTACCTTCTCTCTGTAGATCTGTTACTGATCAGAAGCCGGGGTACCTAGTCTCTGTAGATCTGTAACTGATCAGAAGCGGGGGTACCTACTCTATGTAGATCTGTAACTGATCAGAAGCCTGGGTCCCTCCTCTCTGGCGATCTGTAACTGATCAGAAGCCAGGGAACCTTCTCTCTGTAGATCTGTAACTGATCAGAAGCCGGGGTTCCTACTGTCTGTAGATCTGTAACTGATCAGAAGCCGGGGTATCTAGTCTCTGTAGATCTGTAACTGATCAGAAGCGGGGGTACCTACTCTATGTAGATCTGTAACTGATCAGAAGCGGGGGTACCTACTCTATGTAGATCTGTAACTGATCAGAAGCGGGGGTACCTACTCTATGTAGATCTGTAACTGATCAGAAGCCTGGGTCCCTCCTCTCTGGCGATCTGTAACTGATCAGAAGCCAGGGTGCCTAGTCTCTGTAGATCTGTTACTGATCAGAAGCGGGGGTACCTACTCTATGTAGATCTGTAACTGATCAGAAGCCGGGGTCCCTACTCTCTGTAGATCTGTAACTGATTAGAAGCCAGGGTACCTACTCTCTGTAGATCTGTTACTGATCAGAAGCGGGGGTACCTACTCTATGTAGATCTGTAACTGATCAGAAGCCGGGGTTCCTACTCTCTGTAGATCTGTAACTAATCAGAAGCCGGGGGAACTACTCTCTGTAGATCTGTAACTAATCAGAAGCCGGGGGAACTACTCTCTGTAGATCTGTAACTAATCAGAAGCCGGGGGAACTACTCTCTGTAGATCTGTAACTAATCAGAAGCCGGGGGAACTACTCTCTGTAGATCTGTAACTAATCAGGGGGTACCTACTCTGTAGATCTGTAACTGATCAGAAGCCGGGCTACCTAGTCTCTGTAGACCTGTAACTGATCAGAAGCCCGGGTACCTCCTCTCTGTAGATCTGTAACTGATCAGAAGCCTGGGTCCCTCCTCTCTGGCGATCTGTAACTGATCAGAAGCCAGGGTTCCTACTCTCTGTAGATCTGTAACTGATTAGAAGCCAGGGTACCTACTCTCTGTAGATCTGTTTGGATCGTAATTCAAACAGAAATAGAGATCAGAAGCGGGGGTACCTACTCTATGTAGATCTGTAACTGATCAGAAGCGGGGGTACCTACTCTATGTAGATCTGTAACTGATCAGAAGCCGGGGTTCCTACTGTCTGTAGATCTGTAACTGATCAGAAGCCGGGGTTCCTACTGTCTGTAGATCTGTAACTGATCAGAAGCCGGGGTAACTACTCTCTATAGATCTGTAACTGATCAGAAGCCAGGGTACCTTCTCTCTGTAGATCTGTTACTGATCAGAAGCCGGGGTACCTACTCTCTGTAGATCTGTTTGGATCGTAATTCAAACAGAAATAGATACTAACGTTGTGCCTGCTGATCCCACTTGCCTCCAAGGTAACCCACCACTTCACTGGACGTCAGATGAGAATGGAAGTCCTGAAATATATATCATAACCTGTATATACTGTCACTCAGTAAACCTGTTTATACTGTCTCTCAGTAAACCTGTATATACTGTCCCTCAGTAAACCTGTATATACTGTTCCTCAGTAAACCTGTATATACTGTCTCTCAGTAAACCTGTATATAATGTTCCTCAGTAATGCTGTATATACTGTCTCTCAGTAAACCTGTATATACTGTCCCTCAGTAAACCTGTATATACTGTTCCTCAGTAAACCTGTATATACTGTCTCTCAGTAAACCTGTATATAATGTTCCTCAGTAATGCTGTATATACTGTCCCTCAGTAAACCTGTATATACTGTCCCTCAGTAAACCTGTATATACTGTTCCTCAGTAAACCTGTATATACTGTTCCTCAGTAACACTGTATATACTGTCCCTCAGTAACACTGTATATACTGTTCCTCAGTAAACCTGTATATACTGACCCTCAGTAACACTGTTTATACTGTCACTGAGGAAACCGGTATATACTGACCTCAGTAACAATGTAAATACTGACCCTCAGTAACACTGTATATACTGACCCTCAGTAACACTATGTATACTGACCCTCAGTAACACTGTATATACTGACCCTCAGTAACATTGTAAATACAGACCCTCAGTAACACTGTTTATACTGACCCTCAGTAAACCTGTACATACTGACCCTCGGTAACACTGTATATAATGTTCCTCAGTAGACCCTACTGATAATTTTACCAGGAATAGCTGTAACTGATTTGTATAAAGATTTTCCAATATAAAAGACTATTACAAACCATGAGCAGTGTTGCGTTTGTTGTCATGGAGACAGTGAATGGCTGGACCTTGTTTAGGTTGCTGAAAGCTTCACACTGCACCAGAGTGTTTGGGTCTCTAAAACATAAAGTTGTCCATGTTTAGGTTGCTGAAAGCTTCACACTGCACCAGAGTGTTTGGGTCTCTAAAACATAAAGTTGTCCGTTTACTGCTGCAAACTTGAATGAAAAGGTCGAGTTTCTACCACATGTCATTAGGTAGCAACATTGGGTGTATCAAGTACCTTTAGCTATAATCCATTGTAAACAACATTGGGTGTATCAAGTACCTTTAGCTATAATCCATTGTAAACTGTCAGAAACATTGGGTGTATCAAGTACCTTTAGCTATAATCCATTGTAAACAACATTGGGTGTATCAAGTACCTTTAGCTATAATCCATTGTAAACAACATTGGGTGTATCAAGTACCTTTAGCTATAATCCATTGTAAACAACATTGGGTGTATCAAGTACCTTTAGCTATAATCCATTGTAAACAACATTGGGTGTATCAAGTACCTTTAGCTATAATCCATTGTAAACAACATTGGGTGTATCAAGTACCTTTAGCTATAATCCATTGTAAACAACATTGGGTGTATCAAGTACCTTTAGCTATAATCCATTGTAAACAACATTGGGTGTATCAAGTACCTTTAGCTATAATCCATTGTAAACAACATTGGGTGTATCAAGTACCTTTAGCTATAATCCATTGTAAACAACATTGGGTGTATCAAGTACCTTTAGCTATAATCCATTGTAAACAACATTGGGTGTATCAAGTACCTTTAGCTATAATCCATTGTAAACAACATTGGGTGTATCAAGTACCTTTAGCTATAATCCATTGTAAACTGTCAGAAACATTGGGTGTATCAAGTACCTTTTGATATAATCCTTTGTAAACAACATCAAGTGTAAGACCTTTTACTTTAATCCTCTGTGAACAACACTGAGTGTAAGACCTTTTACTTTAGTCCTCTGTGAACAACATCGAGTGTAAGACCTTTTATTTTAATCCTCTGTAAACAACATCAAGTGTAAGACCTTTTACTATTATCCTCTGTAAACAACATCGAGTGTAAGACCTTTTATTTTAATCCTCTGTAAACAACATCAAGTGTAAGACCTTTTACTATAATCCTCTGTGAACAACATCGGGTGTAAGAACTTTTACTATAATCTTCGGTGAACAACACTGAGTGTAAGACCTTTTACTATAATTCTCTGTGAACAACATTGAGTGTAAGACTTTAACTTTAATCCTCCGAAACAACATCAAGTGTAAGACCTTTTACTATAATCCTCTGTAAACAACACTGAGTGTAAGACCTTTTACTATAATCCTCTGTAAACAACATTGAGTGTAAGACCTTTTACTATAATCCTCTGTGAACAACATCAAGTGTAAGACCTTTTACTATAATCCTCTGTAAACAACATTGAGTGTAAGACCTTTTACTATAATCCTCTGTAAACAACATCGAGTGTAAGACCTTTTACTATAATCCTCTGTAAACAACATTGAGTGTAAGACCTTTTACTATAATCCTCTGTAAACAACATCAAGTGTAAGACCTTTTATTATAATCCTCTGTAAACAACATCAAGTGTAAGACCTTTTATTAAATCCTCTGTAAACAACATCAAGTGTAAGACCTTTTACTATAATCCTCTGTAAACAACATCAGGTGTAAGACCTTTTACTATAGTCCTCTGTAAACAACACTGAGTGTAAGACCTTTTACTAGAATCCTCTGTAAACAACACTGAGTTTAAAACCTTTTACTATAATCCTCTGTAAACAACACTGAGTTTAAGACCTTTTACTATAATCCTCTGTAAACAACATCAAGTGTAAGACCTTTTACTATAATCCTCTGTGAACAACACTGAGTGTAAGACCTTTTACTAGAATCCTCTGTAAACAACATTGGGTGTAAGACCTTTTACTATAATTCTCTGTGAACAACACTGAGTGTAAGACCTTTTACTATAATCCTCTGTAAACAACACTAAGTGTAAGACCTTTTACTATAATCCTCTGTAAACAACATCAAGTGTAAGACCTTTTATTATAATCCTCTGTAAACAACATCAAGTGTAAGACCTTTTATTAAATCCTCTGTAAACAACATCAAGTGTAAGACCTTTTACTATAATCCTTTGTAAACAACATCAAGTGTAAGACCTTTTACTTTAATCCTCTGTAAACAACACTGAGTGTAAGACCTTTTACTATAATCCTTTGTGAACAACATTTAAGTGTAAGGTCTTTGTAAACAATACAAGCTTTTTGACAACATCCTTAACAGAAACTAGAACTGTTAGCTAAAGACTAACTAATACCCCTGCTCCTATACAAACCAGAACTGTAAGCTAAAGACTAACTAATACCCCTGCTCCTATACAAACCAGAACTGTTAGCTAAAGGCTTACTAAGGCAAAGCAATACATTCTCCCACCAGTAACAAGTATTTTGCACAAAGGGGCATAACTCCACAGAGCCAGTGCACAACTACATAAGATACTGATCATTCATGCAAAGTTTCAATGAAATCCACCAGTTAGTTAAGGAGAAGTTGTATGGACAAGTTACTGTGGACGGACGGACAGACAGACAAAGTGATTCCAGCATATCCCCCCTAACTTCGTTGCGGTGGTATATTAAACAAGAGTACCGCGGGCTGGAACAATATACGCCCGTCGAATGCTATATAGTGTTATATACTTTCTTACATTGAAATAATAACTGCATCATTCTAAGAGTGGTTAGCTGACATGCTATAAAAAATGTAGGAGAAAATCTCTGGACAAAAAATCAAATACTGAAATGAAACAAAAAGCAATAATTTTGCAAAAATCGCTGATTCAAAATTCTTTTATGGGAAACACAACTTCATATCATGATTATAATGTATACCAAGTTTCAAAGAGATCCGTTGAAAAATGTAGGAGGAGATTGCCGAACAAAACTCAAATACTGACATAAACAAAGGGCGATAACTTTTGCAAAAACTGTTGAATCAAAATTATTTTCAACGAAACACAACAACATATCATGATTATTTAGCCTATCAAGTTTCAAAGAAATCCGTCAAAACATGTAGGAGGAGATCTCCAGACAAAAAATACTGAAATGAACAAAGGGCAATTACTTTAGGAAAAATTGTCGAATCAAATTTTGTTTAAGGGAGACATAACTTCATATCATGATTATATATAATGTATATCAAGTTTCAAAGAGATCGGTCGAAAAATGTAGGAGGAGATTGCCGGACAAACAAAAGTTTATGCTGGACGGACGGACAACACCATACCATAATACTTCCGTCAAATTTGACGAAACGTGTAAAAATTCAAGAGGGATCTTTCATGTTTTTGGCGCCCACCAATATACCGTTTTCATTAGTTTTATGTCAGTTCAATTTTTTCTCTTATTTTCTTTTATCTGTTTGACTGAGTCATGTAAACAGTAAATGCACCTTGAAGTAACTTTTGATCTAAGCTTCATACTGCTGCGTATAAGAGACAGCCTTCAAAGTGAGTTTGTCATTTCACATATTTACTAGTTCAGTACTTAATGTGAAAGAAATAGAACCGGACATTGCAATATGAGATAGATCTGTGAAGTACTATAAATTATGGACTAAGGGGAACCTCCGTATGAAATTTGAGAAATATCTGTCATGCACTACATTGACGATGGAGCGCGGCTGTTTTATTATAACTTACATGTTCTGGCTACATTGACGATGGAGTGTCGGCTGTTATATAATAACTTACATGTTCTGGCTGCGTTTTTTGAGGGCAGAGTGTCGGATGGAGATTCGGTCACACACATTGTTATTGTTGGTTTCGGAGGCGGGGGTTGATGGGGGTGTGACTGGCGGCGTGGCAGAGGGTGTCGCTGAGAGCTTCGTCTTTTTCGTTTCATTTGAAGGCGCAGTCTTTAATGACAGATTCAATGCTGCAACAGTTTTTACCATATTAAGGTATAAAATAAAAACTTGATTGTTCATCTGCAAATTGTGAACCCACAAAACGAGACAAATCAAAATATTCTAATATTATTGTAAATTTAGAATTTTCTGAAAAGAAATACTGGCCCTAGATTTCTAACAGTGCATATACCGTACTGATTTGGCTCACTCAAATTTAAGCGCATTATCAAATTTAATACATGAGCGCATTGCTGAATGAATGCACCCCAAAAAAATGCACTAGAGAATAATATACAAGATCTTCAGTCGGCACATTCATAACTTAGTACAACAAGAGGCCCAAACGGCCTGTATCGCTTACCTGGATATTTGTGCAATCATGGAAAATTATACTCAATGAAGATACTTTTGCAAATATTTTCATATATTGAGTCTCCTTGGCTTAAGAATGTTTCAAACTAAATAAAACTTTATACTACTCAGGGCCTTCTGGTATTGTGGAAGAAATTGTTTAAAGAAATTTACATATTTGACCCCTGTGACCAAGAAAGTAGGTCAAGGTCATTTATTTAAGAGCACTTTATAGCACTCTGTCCCAGGTACCTACTGGCCAAATATGGCCCTAGGTCCTCAAGATCTTAAGAAGAAGACATTCAAAGAAAAAGTTGACGGGGGGTCGTTAGGCGTTTGATCATTTGTGAGTAAACTAGTTTGTCTGTAATACAAACCTTCTTCTTGGTGAGAATCCCCGTTACTTTTCTCTGCAGACAACCTGTCAATAAGAAAAGAAGGTGTAAAACAATTCCCATCAAATATTTTGTGTATTACTTGTCTTCAATTGGGTTAGTCTAATACTCCAACTGAGGTAGATAAGGTTTTGTGAAACCTTACAAATGTGGTTCGACCCTACAAATAAACCGACTTCATTCAAATCTGGCTGATAAGATTAGTCAAATGACCTATCTGAGGGAGATAATCTTTTGCAGAAGTACAGGTAAACCCCGACGGTGACCTTTAGTCTCATCTAGCCAACTCTGCTGCTAGCTATTTGATGGGTAGCTCAAGTTATCAAAGCATGGTTAGCTTTACAGTTCTTTTCTTGTGTTAATGTATTGGTTCTGTTGATCTATTCTGTGCTTACAATAGATTCATTCTACTGAAATGGATAGAATATATTTTGGAAAGTTTTTTTAATTCTGTCGGAATTAATACTCATATTCAGCATTTTCGAACCAAAAAAGTATGTGCGTAAATTACTAAGGGTTTTTATAGTTATGTACTCTCCAGTTTCTTATATGGACTGGAAATTGCCAAAAACTGTCCATTGCTCTAAGCTTTCATGATTTTTTTCTGAGGATGCAGTTGGAATCTTTAATGACAATAAATTTGAAATGCACCCAAGATGATGTGTTACACCTGCGTGACACTTTGAGGTACCTGTGTGCTTGGCTTCCTCCATTGAAGAGAGGTGTGCTAGTGTGGGCAGGGCGTGCAGTAAGGTCGAGGGGTGCTGCTTCCCCCGATGGACTGGTCACCCTTTCCAAGCCTTCTTCAAGCTGATGTGTCCCCAGCTCAAGATCAGGTTGAAGTCTGGGATCCAGCTCAGACTGATGTTGTGACCCCAGCTCAGAGGAAGGTTGCGATCCAAGCTCAAAGTAAGGCCGTGACCCCATATCCCAATGAGGTTGTGACCCCAATTCAGACGGAGGTCGTGACCCCAGATTAGAGTGAGGCCGAGACCCCAGATCGGAGTGAGGTCGTGACCCCAGTTCAGATGGGGGTCGTGCTCTGTAGTCAGATTGTTCCCCATTCAAAGAATCACTACATATACTCCGAGGAGACTGAAAAGTAGATGATTATCAGATCAATTGAATGATAACTTTTTGGATAACTTTTTTAAGTTTATCTTCACCATATTAAGATTGAAACTAGACCTTGCCAGCATCTCAAACAAATTATGCCTGTATGCCACTGCCTAGCTAAAAAACCTTTACCTGTAAGCCACAGCCTAACTAGAACACCTTTACCTGTAAACCACAGCCTAACTAGAAACCTTTACATGTAAGCCACAGCCAAACTAGAAACATTTACCTGCAAGCCACAGTCTAACTAGAAACCTTTACCTGTAAGCCACAGCCTAACTAGAAACCTTTACCTGTAAACCACAGCCTAACTAGAAACCTTTACCTGTAAGCCAGTCTAACTAGAAACCTTTACCTGTAAGCCACAGCCTAACTAGAAACCTTTACCTGTAAACCACAGCCTAACTAGAAACTTTTACCTGTAAACCACAGCCTAACTAGAAACCTTTACATGTAAGTCACAGTCTAACTAGAAACCTTTACGTGTAAGCCACAGCCTAACTGGAAACCTTTACCTGTAAACCACAGCCTAACTAAAAACCTGTACATGTAAACCACAGTCTAACTAGAAACTTTACATGTAAGTCACAGCAGTTCTTCTTCAGAAGTCAAAAATGTAAAAAGTTGACAGACAACAGACGACTACATACGAAAAGTGATCGCAATGGGTCACTGCAGGAGCCTTTGGCTTGGCTCAACTGACCTAACATCCTATACCTGTACGTCACCGCCTAACTAAAAAAACACAGTCAAAAAAATCCTCAATAAAGTCTGTCAGACAATTTAAGAACAGACTCGATTAACACTGGATTGATCTAATTACAGAGCCAACATAACTTGTTAAACATATGATGTCCATACCCGAAATTTCTTGTATGTGTACATGTTTATATATATATATATAAATATATTTAAAAAAAAAAACATGTTTGAGTCGGGTTAAGAGAATCATATAGATCCTGTATCAGAAAATAAACTAAACTAAATTACAATGTTCAGTTATATCTAGTGATGAAAACGTGTAGAAATATTCATAAACATTTGTTAACGGGTACGATTTAATTAAAATCAGGCAAAATCTTAAATTTCAACAAAATAAAATGATGGGTACATCAAGACCTATAACCAAATGGAGGAAAAATCCCCAAACCAATCAGAATGGATAATGTGAAAACTTTCATAAAACCCGAAAAAATCACAAAATGGACTGACCGGTGTTTCACGGCTGCGTGCTGGACTGTGAGGGTGATACTTCCTGAACCAAGACGTCTTCCACGAGTCCAGTTTACGTCCCCTGTACATCACCTGAAATAAACATTCCCAGGAGTTACTGAAATCTGACAGTGCAAGTTAAAAAGCTGTAAATTGAGATAAAAAAATAAATAAAAAAAAAAACGATTTTGAGATCTTCCCTAGTGACTATCTCTTCCGGCTATCGTTTCTAAGGAAGCGTCGACATTTTAGTTTGTCTTTGCTTATTAACGAGTATGGGTCTCGCTTGGGATAAAAAGTGCATTACCTGTCAAACCTGTTATCATTCTACCACTGTATGACCGTCTTACAATTCAATGCACCGCGCACCCTGATCGGCCACTGATATCAAAAAATCAAACTCACTAACCTGAAGACTTCGAAACACGGCCAAGCTGATTGTTACTTATGGCACATTCTCGGAAATTGTGTATCCAAAATGAAAGGTATATCACTGAAACAACTTCAATAAATCCCATATATCTATCATCGGTCCTCTACGTGCATAGAATCGCACCTCTTAGTCTTGGTCGTGTAGACGCTTGCCTAGCAAAACGTGTGCATAATGTGACACTCCCATGTGTGTAACCATGAGCTCTTTGTCCGTTTACTGATATTAAGCTCTTTGTCCGTTTACTGATATGAAGCTCTTTGTCCGTTTACTGATATGAAGCTCTTTGTCCGTTTACTGATATGAAGCTCTTTGTCCGTTTACTGATATTAAGCTCTTTGTCCGTTTACTGATATTAAGCTCTTTGTCCGTTTACTGATATTAAGCTCTTTGTCCGTTTACTGATATGAAGCTCTTTGTCCGTTTACTGATATGAAGCTCTTTGTCCGTTTACTGATATGAAGCTCTTTGTCCGTTTACTGATATTAAGCTCTTTGTCCGTTTACTGATATTAAGCTCTTTGTCCGTTTACTGATATTAAGCTCTTTGTCCGTTTACTGATATGAAGCTCTTTGTCCGTTTACTGATATGAAGCTCTTTGTCCGTTTACTGATATGAAGCTCTTTGTCCGTTTACTGATATTAAGCTCTTTGTCCGTTTACTGATATTAAGCTCTTTGTCCGTTTACTGATATGAAGCTCTTTGTCCGTTTACTGATATGAAGCTCTTTGTCCGTTTACTGATATGAAGCTCTTTGTCCGTTTACTGATATTAAGCTCTTTGTCCGTTTACTGATATTAAGCTCTTTGTCCGTTTACTGATATTAAGCTCAATGCGAATTACTGACATTGTACTCTCTATCGGTTATTGATATTGTACTTAGTGTGAGTCAACAAACTATTATGTTGAAGTTTACAATATTTTTCCAAACATAGTTATTACGATTTCCACAAATAACTACCGTTCATTCACACTGACCAACAGGAGTCAATAGCAGCCCAAGTATACTCACAGAAGCCCAGCCACATCCCGACTTTTTCTCTGGGTTGATTTGACGTTTACAGTGCTGCGCCCAGGCACTGGGGGTAGCAAACACTTCCTTGGTGGCAGGAGTTTGGATCTTTCCATTAGACAGAAGGTCTGCGATGAACTTGCGGCCCTGTTGTAAATAAATAACACTACAAAATGTAAGGGGAAAATGCTTCAGCTCCCATGTTAATTTATATGTACTGCACCAGATATTTGAGGTTGATTTTGTAATGTACCAGATATTTGATGTTGAATTTGGTAATGTACCAGATATTTGATGTTGAATTTTGTAATGTATCAGAAATTTGATGTTGAATTTTGTAATGTACCAGATATTTGAGGTTTAATTCTGTACTGTACCAGATATTTGAGGTTGATTTTGTAATGTACCAGATATTTGATGTTGAATATTGTAATGTATCAGAAATTTGATGTTGAATTTTGTAATGTACCAGATATTTGAGGTTTGATTCTGTACTGTACCAGATATTTGAGGTTGATTTTGGTAATGTACCAGATATTTGATGTCGAATTTTGTAATGTATCAGAAATTTGATGTTGAATTTTGTAATGTACCAGATATTTGAGGTTGAATTTAGTACTGTATCAGGTATTTTGGGTTTAATTCAGTACTGTACCAGATATTTGAGAATGAATTATGTACTGTTCCAGATACATTTGAGAATGAATTCTGTAGAGTATGTTATACCAGATATTTGAGAATTAATTCTGCTCTGTACCAGATATTTGAGAATTAATTCTGATCTGTAACAGATATTTGAGAATTAATTCTGTTCTGTACCAGATACTTGAGGTTTAATTCTTTACTGTACCAGATACTTGAGAATGAATTCTGTACTGTACCAGATATTTGAGAATTGATACAATTCTGATCTGTAACAGATATTGAGAATTAATTCTGTACTGTACCAGATATTTGAGGTTTAATTCTGTACTGTACCAGATATTTGAGGTTTGATTATGTACTCTTCCAGATATTTGAGAATTAATTCTGATCTGTAACAGATATTGCGAATTAATTCTGTACTGTACCAGATATTTGAGGTTTAATTCTGTACTGTACCAGATATTTGAGAATTGATACAATTCTGATCTGTAACAGATATTGAGAGTTAATTCTGTACTGTACCAGATATTTGAGGTTTAATTATGTACTGTACCAGATATTAGATGTTTAATTCTGTACTGTACCAGATATTTGAGAATCGATATAATTCTGATCTGTAACAGATATTGAGAATTAATTATGTACTGTACCAGATATTAGAGGTTGATACAATTCTGATCTGTAACAGATATTGAGAGTTAATTCTGTACTGTACCAGATATTTGAGAATCGATATAATTCTGATCTGTAACAGATATTGAGAATTAATTCTGTACTGTACCAGAGATTAGAGGTTGAATTATGTACTGTACCAGACATTTGAGGTTTAATTATGTACTGTACCAGATATTAGAGGTTTAATTCTTTACTGTACCAGATATTAGAGGTTGAATTATATACTGTACCAGATATTTGAGGTTTAATTCTGGACTGTACCAGATATTTGAGGTTTAATTCTGGACTGTACCAGATATTTGAGGTTTAATTCTGTACTGTACCAGATATTAGAGGTCGAATTATGTACTGTACCAGATATTTGAGGTTTAATTATGTACTGTACCAGATATTTGAGGTTTAATTATGTACTGTACCAGATATTAGATGTTTAATTCTGTACTGTACCAGATATTTGAGAATTGATACAATTCTGATCTGTAACAGATATTGAGAGTTAATTCTGTACTGTACCAGATATTTGAGAATTGATACAATTCTGATCTGTAACAGATATTGAGAATTAATTATGTACTGTACCAGATATTAGAGGTTTAATTCTTTACTGTACCAGATATTAGAGGTTGAATTATGTTCTGTACCAGATATTTGAGGTTTAATTATGTACTGTACCAGATATTAGATGTTTAATTCTGTACTGTACCAGATATTTGAGAATTGATATAATTCTGATCTGTAATAGATATTGAGAATTAATTCTGTACTGTACCAGATATTTGAGAATTGATACAATTCTGATCTGTAACAGATATTGAGAGTTAATTCTGTACTGTACCAGATATTTGAGAATTGATATAATTCTGATCTGTAATAGATATTGAGAATTAATTCTGTACTGTACCACATATTTGAGGTTTAATTCTGTACTGTACCAGAGATTAGAGGTTGAATTATGTACTGTACCAGATATTAGAGGTTGATACAATTCTGATCTGTAACAGATATTGAGAATTAATTCTGTACTGTACCAGAGATTAGAGGTTGAATTATGTACTGTACCAGACATTTGAGGTTTAATTATGTACTGTACCAGATATTAGATGTTTAATTCTGTACTGTACCAGATATTTGAGAATTGATACAATTCTGATCTGTAACAGATATTGAGAATTAATTATGTACTGTACCAGATATTAGAGGTTGATACAATTCTGATCTGTAACAGATATTGAGAATTAATTCTGTACTGTACCAGATATTTGAGAATTGATATAATTCTGATCTGTAATAGATATTGAGAATTAATTCTGTACTGTACCAGAGATTAGAGGTTGAATTATGTACTGTACCAGATATTAGAGGTTTAATTCTTTACTGTACCAGATATTAGAGGTTGAATTATATACTGTACCAGATATTTGAGGTTTAATTCTGGACTGTACCAGATATTTGAGGTTTAATTCTGGACTGTACCAGATATTTGAGGTTTAATTCTGTACTGTACCAGATATTTGAGAATTGATATAATTCTGATCTGTAACAGATATTGAGAATTAATTCTGTACTGTACCAGATATTAGAGGTTGAATTATGTACTGTACCAGATATTTGAGGTTTAATTCTGTACTGTACCAGATATTTGAGGTTTAATTCTGTACTGTACCAGATATTTGAGGTTTAATTCTGTACTGTACCAGATATTTGAGGTTTAATTCTGTACTGTACCAGATATTAGAGGTTTAATTCTGTACTGTACCAGATATAAGAGAATGAATTCTGTACTGTACCAGATATTTTAGTGTTAGCACAGCATTTCCAGGCTCCATAATGTTGTCTGTAATTAACATTTGTAAGGTGACATTTCGTCCTGAGATCACTGGTTTGGAGATGGAATCTGCTGCTGTAGCTGTGAGGTGTCCTCCTTCTGTTGCCATTTCTGCATCCTCATCCTCATCATAACCTTCTTCTTCCTCTATCTCATCTTTTGTGGACATTTCAACCGAGTTTTCAGTGAGCTGGAAACATTTCACATCAGAATTATCCTGGATAAAACAACATATTATTAGAAATTATCTCCCTTTGCAAAAGTACTAAATTATATAAAAAAAAAAATGCTGCGGAGATATTACGCTATTACAAATAAGCTAATTTGATAAGAAAAAAAGTAATTCTTAAATATGATTTGATCAGAGGTACAGTATAAGACTGACCATTTTACACAAATTATCTTCCTTGGCAGATTTTTTTTCTGTAATAAATGACTGGATCATGATGAAACTTTCACAAATTACCTATTTTTAAAATAAAGATTTCTTACTAACAGCGGGACGCCTGGCTTTCTAGTCTTATACTCTACCGAATGAGCTATAAAGAGAAATTCTCCCTAGTCGAGTCGGTAGGAAGCAGCTAGTATTTTACCAGGTTGTCATATGCATGATTTCCCTCCAGGAAAGACCTTGTCCCAAGTTTTCCACAATTCCTTTGTAAGTATCCCAATGTAACATATGTCATTAATTTTCAATGCCTCCGCTAGGAGTCAAACCCAGGATGCCTGATTTATTAATCGTGTGATCTTTCAAATTAGCTTAAAAGAAATTCTCCCTAGCCGAGTCGGTAGGAGAAGCAGCTAGTATTTTACCAGGGTGACATATCTAAACTTCTTTTACTTTACAACAATTATGAAGTAAGTTATTTCAACTTATATTAATCACTCATGTTGGCTGGGATGTTAGTGCGCTGGGGGTCTTAATATAAAACTGTTATTTACATCTCTTTCAGCTGTTTTTTTATGTTTACTTTTAGCAAATCAATTTCAAATGAAAGGTTTTGTTTTACAAATTAAATAGATTTAAAACTGTATTTTAATAATTCACATTTATTATAAACTGCTTGAGTCATTATTGTCGCGACACTGTGATGTTTGTATATCATCACCCTAGAACGTCACGTATTCAGAGCTAGTTAGCGTTTTTACCCTTGGCCTTGTGATACTCTCACAAGATAGTTAATTCCTGTAGGAACTCTTATCTAAATCAGAGATTTATAATTTAGATAGAGTTCCTACAGGAATTACAAATTGAGCTACATAGTTGCCGACAATCAACCCAGTCAGTTTCAGCTACATTCCTCCCTCCATTTTCTAAGCCTTTGCCAAGACGACACAATTATTTACAACCCAGACTCAGGTATCCCTTTGGCAAGATACACCAAATGCCTGAAATAAGGGTTGGTATCAGGAGAAAGAGAAAATGTAATGACCAGACCGAGGGTTCGAACCCGGGACCCTTCGAACTCTTGATGGAAGCTCCAACCAATTGACTTGGTCGCCGACAATCAACCCAGTGGGGTTCCCGTACATACAGTACAATCATTTTTAATGATTGCCTATTTGACTCCATCATCCGTTATATTGACAGAATGCGTTGGGTCTCCAGTGCACCTTCCCAACATAATACAGACCCTACCACCAGCATGCCTTGTGGGTGGAGTGGCGGCAATATAATACCAACACCTGGATTCATTTTCTTTTCTGTGTGAGGTTTTTGAAACGAAATGCGAAACAGTAGGCCTAGTCTGTCATAAACTGTGTTTGAGGAATTTCGATCAGCCACTTGAGTTTGAATGCTGAAATGGAACGCTACACAGATGGCAGCCGTGGCTGAGCTAGTCTTTCATAAAAGAAAGTTCACACAGAATATCTAAACAATGACAATCTCTCACCTGCCGCCAACTGCAAACCTCGTAGAGGAAATTATGGCTTACTTTCTTTGTTTACATGTGCTTCCTGTGACCCATTACCTTCACGGAGCAAAGAAATGGACTCATTTGATTGGTTAAAATTGAATTTGAATATTGTGTGTATTTTATGTATCTTCGGGTATTATGATTTGTAATTACTCTGATGTTTTCTGGTTTGATTCGCAAGCTGATACGATATTGTGGTCGAATTGAAAACATGTATTTTTCTGTAAGCGCACCTGTCATTAAAATCAGAAACCGAAACCGGAAAATAAATTCAGGATTCTATTATTATATTTTACTTACTGTTGCATTGCATTGCTGGATTTGATGAAAAGTTGCACGTGTCTGAATACTTCTGTATTGGTATATACGAACAGATTTTCATTGCCAAATAAAAATAAAAATAAATTAACTGGATATATATTCAACGAGCTTATGTTTTGAAATAGCGTAATATTCATGCTGTATTAAATAGCTTACATTCTAAGAAAAAATGACCAACATCCTCACAGGAATGTCAACAAGCGCATGATGGATTATCAACAATCTTAACACGGAACAAATCATTTTTCAAAGAGCTGCACTGATGCATGAGTTTCGTATGTAGAATCACGGAATCTAATTCCGTGGTAGAATCTAATATATTTAAATTGTGTTCGCCAACATTGTATAAAAATGGCGGAGACGAATTTGCACCACTAGATATAGAAGATTTATAAGTATTTAAATATGGCAATGTTCTTATTGTATTGTTTAACGAACTCCTAAGACGTAAACTCGATGGCAGAAAAGAGGAATTGCTTGAGGAGAGTCCGAAAGAAGGAATATTATAATCATATTGGTTCGGTAAACTGTACCGATTGTTGTTACCTACTGTGTTTGGCAAATGGGCCGATACATAGATTGGGGTTTAAATGTTTTGAAGGAAGACGTTCTGTAATTTCAAATGATTCAATCACAAACCATATAATTATTGTCATACCGTCCTCAAAATTCCATATCGTCCTAAAAGCTGAATCTAATGTATGGCTAAATTGTACGCGAACGTAACGTGCTATATTTTCAATTCAAGATATGCTATTGTTTGCCGAAAGGATCGATTGGACAACAGGCTTTACAAGTCTTCTCCAATTCCCGTTAAAGCATGCATGATATCAGTTAAATAATTAACATAAGGGTTAAATATGATGGACATTTTATATAGATTTACAACACGTAAGAGTTTGAATAATTTTGGGAATAATGATTATTAAATTAATTGAAGTTTGAAGAACTGTAACCCTAGGCCTAGCTCACACCGATAAACACACATTATATACTTACACGTCATCTTGTATGGAATTGATTATCATCAATGGAGAGTAAATGACTCCCCACACATATAAGCTGAAATCAGAAACGGATTATACGTCTCTGCTGAAATGTAGCCAATTCTGGTATATATATACAAGAGGCACTTGTAACCTTAAAAGTGATCTAAAATAAAGCTACATGCAAAATATCAATATTTATGACTATATAAGTCATTCAAAAGAACTTGTTAAAAGATTTCAACAAGGTCATCACATTGAACAAACTTGTTAGCCTTTCATCTCAGCATGCAACTTGTCAAATATCACAAACCCTAGACATTTTCTTTTATTGAGACTTGGTCATTATAAGGTTCACACATATTTGGCTAAATGTGACCTTGAAAGTGGGTCAAGGCCATTCAAATGACTTGATATATATAGCCCTTCATCCAAGGATGCTACTAGCCAAATATCAACATTCTAGGCCTCATGGTTATTCAGAAGAAGTCGTTGAATATTTTAAATATAGTTGACCCCTGTGACCTGGAATATAAGTCAAAGTCATTCATTTTATCAAAATTGGTAGCCCTTCATCCTAGCATGCTACTTGCCAGATATCAACATTATAGGCCCTATGGCTATTTAGACAAAGTCTTTAAAGTTTTAAACATATTTGATGCCCTTGACCTTGAATATGAATGAAGGTCATTCATTTTGTGGTGAAAAGGGACATTCTTGCCTGAGCACACTGCAGTGTCCCTTTTCGTTGTTTATTACTCGTTCTCCTACAACGCCGATATTCCTATGTATTTATCACATAGATACCAATTATGGATATTAATACGGCCACAATTGAGGACCTCAATTAGTTAAAGGGTATTGGGGAGGCAAGGGCGAAAATCATTTTGGCTGCACGTGAAAATTTAGGGAGACTTACGCTGCAGGACCTGAAAATGTTGGAAGGTGTGCCCAACACAATCTGGGACCCATTAATAGGGGATTGGACGGTTGTAATTGGGAATCGGACAAAACAACGGCCAAACGGCCATGGGCAAATACAGAAGTTGTCTGCTGCACTCCAGACTATGGAGGAAAAGTTTTCAATGTCCCTACGGGAGCATAGGGAGCAAATAAATGATTTTAAAAAAATCAGTTGGTAGAGAAAGACAGGCTCATTGAGCAAAGGGACCATGAACTCCAGCGAATGAGAGATTCTGAGGGCACTGTTGGTACCATGCAGCAGATGTGAATAGGGTGGATAAAATGGCTCCAAACGGGATCTATGGTAAAACAGGGGGCGAGGGCCAAGGTGCCGTTGGGGGTGCAGGGGTAATTAAAAGCGAGTCGACAAGTGGTGACGGACACGTTGCGGGGGGACACAGAAGTCAATCACGATCCCCAGGCCGTGGCAGAAGCGGTGCTCATGAACGCGATGATTATTACCGCGTTGTAGTGCCAACATATGATGGCAAGTCCGAGTGGGCCCCTTACTGTCTCAAATTCAACCACATCGCCTATAGATATAAATGGGGAAATCAACAGAGAATTGGTCGCTTTATCGAATGCCTTCGTGACAATTCTACAGATCTCGGCCCCCTTCTGTCCAAACTAATTTTAAATTACTATGCCAGAAAATTGAGAGCAACACCTCCATCAAACCTCCGATGAGGAATTGGAGGATTTCGCTGATCGAACCCAGGAGCTGGTACAGACGGTCAACTTATTCATCAGAGGACTGGGTCCAGATGTTGATGCATTCCTCAGGGGGTTTGCTTGACAAACGCGCTGCTTTAACCGTAATGGCCTAATCTTCAATCACATTAAATGACGCGTTAGTAATGGTAAAAACCGCCGTGACCAACCAGAGATTGATATTAAGGGCAAAGCACCAGAAATCAGAAGTCAAGAGGGTGTCATTTGCTGATGGCAAACTTGACTCGAGCATTCATGAGGCGCCGTATGTTAGGTCAGTTGCTAAATCTGATTGCTTCGAAGATCAGGTGAATAAGCTGTTGAATGAAGTGGCATGAAATTGGAGGATCTCCCATGTCGTTAATGAGGGAAACCGTTCTTGGTCAACTACTAGAGTCGATATTAGGTCCCCAGCCGCATCACCTGTTAGGGATGGGTCATGCTACAATTGTTGGCAAAAAGGGCACTTCGCGAGGGAATGTAAACAGCCAAGGGAACAAGGTGAACGGTCAAGGTCCCGCAGAGGTCGAGGTCGCTGTCGCCAGTGAGGCCATCAAGTAATTTAAACGCCAAAGGGCTGAGGCAGTAGGCCACCCCTTAGCCCAATATATACCGTCAAACAACACAAATAGGCCTTTATTGGATCTGCGGGTGCAGGAGGTAACGCTGCATGAAAGGAGACATAACATGTTGGCAAGGTCTCTCTATCTACCGATTAGGCTTGGCGATACAGTTGAGGATGCAGTAATAGACACTGCAGCTCAGGTGTCTGTTATAAGTAATGCTTGCTTCAACACCCTTGGGTATAGCGGAATACCTACGCGGCATATTCAAAACTTCCAGCCAAATTTCAAGAGTTGTTGATGATATAGATGTTGGAATAGGGTCCATTAACACCAAGGCCGCGTTCGTGGTAGCCAATGTTGGAGATGCCGTTATTGTCGGCATTGACTTTCTAGAAAGGCACAAGGCGTCCATCAACTTTTCCAATTATACAACATCATTGGATAACAAAATCTTTCAGGCCGAGGGTATGGGTGATAATTCAGGGGAGGAGGTTCGAATACTTGCCCTGACTGTACAGAAGAAAGTGGTCGTGCCTCCGGGGTCTGTCAAATTCGTGCCACTTATTGCTAGGGGGGCTCCCCTAGAAGGTCACATGGTTATCCATCCTTCTAAGAACATGAACGGCTTGCTGTCACCGGCTAGTCTTGTGAGGACAGTGGACCATGGCATGTTATTGCTCAATACTACTAAGACGTTTGTCTCACTTATGAAGAACCAGGAGGTGGGAGTCGGTGTGGAAGCGGACGGTATCCTAACAGAGGAAGAGGAGGCATTAGCGATTAGGTACGTCACAACTTCCTACAATAGACAGGAATATGGCTAGAGTCTAGAGGAGTCGATGAAGGAAGTCCCCGTGCATTTAGTTGATCTTTGTAAGAGGGCGACAGCAGACTTAAATTCATGCCAAGCTGTACAGGTTATTAAGCTGTTGGTCCAATTCAGTGATGTTTTCGCTAAGAGTGAACTGGACCTCGGGTTATTTGCTGGCGATATCGATCACCGGATTAACAAAGAGGATGCTGCGCCAGTCCGGCAGAGAATGAGGAGGACTCCATTAGGGTTCGAGGAAGAGGAGGAGGGGCATCTGGGGGAAATGTTGCAGAGTGGTGTTATCCAGCCCAGTTCCTCCGAGTGGGCAGCGCCACCAGTCTTAGTCCGGAAGAAGGATGGTAGCTTGCGGTACTGTATAGACTATAGAGCGCTTAATAAGGTGACCGTCAAAGACGCATTCACTGCAGATCGAGTGCTGTTTAGATGCTCTAGCAGGAAATCAATGCATGAGTACATTAGACATGGCTGCTGGGTATTGGCAGGTGGAAGTCGATGAGAGGGACCGACATCAGACTGATTTCGTTACTAAATATGGGTTATTTGAACACCGTCGGTTACCGTTCGGGCTATGTAATAGCCCTGGTACATTCAGTCGTGTTGTCCAGCTTGTCATGTGTGGCCTTAGTTGGAAGGAGTGCTTAGCATATCTCGACGCCATTATTGTTCTCGGTGCGACCTTTGATTCTCATCTTAGTAACCTTACTCAGGTTCTATTACGACTCCAGCATTACAACCTGAAACTAAAACCGAAGAAATGCCATTTGTTCCGGAACGAAGTGTTGTTCCT